AAAAAAAAAAAAAAAAAAAAAAAAAAAAAAAAAAAAAAAAAAAAAAAAAAAAAACAACTGTTGACTAATAATCGTGATTAAATTAAATTATCACCCGCGTGTTGTCACCGGTTGGGCTAACACTTCGCTTGTATTATCTTTATTAATTTTTTGCGTCCGTAGAAGTACATTTTAATACGGGCATTACGCATACGTTAATAATTAAAGCGTTGATTAAATTTTCATTTTGATAATTGTATGTAACCATTAATTGCATGAAAAATAAAGATTTGTTCCGTACATGTGTTGCGCCGGTAAACTGTACCATCTATTTGTACTCTTTTGTAATTGGGTCTTGGGCCCGTTCATTAAATGAAATAAATATAATAATTAAAAATATATGACATCAATATGAAGCGCTGCTTGATCGTTTAAATTTAAAATTAACATTCATCTGATTGCTGAAAGGTAATGAAATATCTATCTGACGTTACATTTTCGATCTACAATTCAGTGTCCATATCAATACTAATTTAATATTAATTCAACGTTCAAATATATATTCATTCACTATATTACTACCTTCTTTTCCGAGACGTAAGCGATTTAAAGTTTTTTACTTATACACAATTTTTCAAGATTACTGTCTTACCTGATAACAAATGGAAAAAAATCACCATCCTGAGGTTTCCTTCGGTGTTTAAATAAAAATTATCTTCGGTTATTCCACTATCTATGTTACTCTGCAAAAAGACGATTTGATACTTCGAACTGAACGATCTCAAAACTAGTATACGCATACTGTGCTTTAGCACATTTTCAAACTCGAACTAAAGTTAAGAAACATTTTATGTAAAAGTACGTTTTTCACCTCAGTTTCCAAGTATTTGGTACATTGTCTATGATAATTCATGTACACATAATTGTTTTATTGACATAATTATAAACAAATAAAATTATCGAAAATCTTGAGAATTATGATCATAAGGGTGAGGAACTCACCGACAATTAGTACAGGCTGACGCTACGATTCTATCATTCTGGTAAAGAGAGCACGGTGTTAGATATACGTAAAGTTATTAAGTACAGTGCCATTTGGTCGATTTTATTAAACCATATAAGTAGAATAAATGTACTTTTGGAGGTCGATTTTCGGGTGAAAAAAAATTTTTGACTTGCCGCAAATAGCACAAACAATGTCAAATTTTTATTTTCTATTTACAAAATTAGTTGCGGCTGGTTTACAATTGATTAAATAGCTCTACTGTAACTAGTAATCATTTATTGGATCAGCGCCATCTAGCGTTGTGGATTTTTTAACTAAAAAGTGGCCCTAGAATTCTCAAGGAGAGCTTTAGCGCTTAGAGACACTTAGCCTATTATAAGCCAGCCGCAACTCATATTGTAGCTATAAAATAAAAAAATAATTATACATGTGTTTTTGGCGGCAAGTTACCAATCTATTTTCTACCAAATAATTGACCTCCTGTATATTTATACTTTTGAAGATAAATTTTCGAGTAAAATATAGATAGATAACTTGCCGCTAAAAACACATGTATGATTATTTTTTTATTTTATAGCTACAACATGAGTTGCGGCTGGTTTATAATAGATTAAATGTCTCTAAGCGCTAAAGCTCTCCTTGAGAATTCTAGGGCCACTTTTTAGTTCAAATTTTTCAAAAATCCGCAACGCTAGATGGCGCTGGTCCAATAAATTATTACTGTACTTACAGTAGAGCTATTTAATTAATTGTAAACCTGCCGCAACTAATTCTGAAGATATGAAATGAAAAGTTAGCATTGTTTGTGCTATTTGCGGCAAGTTTACAATTTATCTCCGATCCGAAAATCGACCTCCAAAAGTATAGATATTCTACTTATATATAGTTTATAAATAAAATCCACCATATGGCACTACTTGTTGCAGGTAACTGATAACGATTGCAGAAAATACTGACTGCCCATCAAAAAACTCACAACTGGAATATTTGTTATCATTCGTAGATACACCAGAAACTTTCTGACCGACTTACCATCAATTGACCATTGGCACCTGTGTTATCTTCCATTAGTAACCGCAGTAGGGCAGTAGTGTTCGAACACATACACATTGTATCAATGAATTATACATGGGCATGACACACGTGCGTGCGGTACTCCTCTTTTTCCTCTCTCCTCTTTAACATATTTTACTCTCTTCATGTTTTTCAACACCAAAGCTATATAATAGTCGAAGTTTTGTAATTATCGTTAAATATACAAGTCCATTGTCGCCATATCGTTGAAATTAAATTATTTTCAAGATGGCATTGTTGGTGGGAAATCTTACCAAAAGTAGTTTGAAGCTACTGGCTAACAATGTTATGAAACAGTTGATGTTTAATGGTAAACATTTTAATTTTTTTAACCTTACTTTTGTAAAAGTGTATACCAAGTGCCTATGTAAGCCGGAAAAATAAAGAGAAGCCTTAGATCTAGTAACGTCACTCCATGCCCCAAACTGCGGATAATAAATGAACGATTTTAGACTTCTTAATGAAATTATTTCATTTATCATTAAGTAGGCTGACGAAAGTTTTCATCACTTAATCTATTTCGGAGTTTTTAGATTGCACCCCTGTTAAGTATCAAAATTATCATCTCAGAACCATACTTATCAATTTTCATTATTTTTACTTTCAAGATTACTCAATGTAACTTTTTTTACATGTGCACTATTAACCTGTAGGCAGGTTCTTGTTAGCTGTCTTTTGTATGAAAAATGCATTGTTTGTAGTGGTTTTATTTATATCATGTACAATATAATGCTTGAGCTGGAATATTTGCCAGGTAACTTTGTGCTGTTGTATTAAAATTAAAATTACCTTAATAATTATTTTCAGCATCAAGGCCATTGTATTCAGCAAACAGCATGGGTATAAATGGCTACTTGAATGCCAGAGAGTACGTGAAGTCTCAGTTCCATAACATTGATCACATGTTTTACAATAAAATGAAAGACTTTGTGGACAAGAAGGAAGATTCTATGATCTTCACTGAAGATTTGAAAACGATGCTGCACATTTGTGAAAAAAAGATGGAAGATTTGGAACTTTTGTATAAAATGTTGATAAAATACAAGTCTCAAAATAACTTGAGGTTTGGTAGTTTCATCTTTGGCACAGTTGTCATGAGATTGTTGTACCATCTAGATGAACCAGACTTTGCCTTAAAAGCATTTATGGATCCGAAATTAGATGGTTTCTTTGACCAAATTATGACTCATCAGTTGCTCATGGATTTATTATATAATCATGGGCGATACAACGATGTCATTGCAGTCTATGACGTGACCAAGTCTAAAAATATTAATGGCATAGTTCATCCTAAGAATCCTTTCATCTTAGTTATGGCAGCTTGTTATCAAGAGGTATTTAATAATTTTACTTTTTTTATTTTTTATGAACAACGAAATTTTATTGCTAGCAAGCTAAATAACGTTAATGTACAAATTATGACCATTTATAGAATACACCACAGAGCTTAAAATATGCAAAGGATTTATTTACGGAAGCACAAAACAGGGGTTACGAATTTCCTAGAAGATCAATCACATTTTTAGCTGCTTTAGCTCTCAAACAGAAAGATGCAGTCACCGCTTTGGAAGTTGCAGCATTAGCCAGAAATGTCAGATACATCGACATCAGATGTGTTAAAGTCGTCGCCTTTACTCATATGGAACGTATCGACGAAATTATGGTGTATTTCCGTGAGTCTCTGCAAAATGACTCGGATACAAGGCGAAAACAATGCTACTTCCACGATACCGTAAGATCACATTTCATGAAATTTTTTCAATTTTTTTTTATCGTACAAAGAAACCCATGCATTGGAATGTTTATAATTCTTCCAGATCGAAGAGGTAGAAAAATTCATTGAACATAAGAAATTAGATGAAAATCATGATCTTGTAAAAATGTTGAAACAGCTCAAACTTCACGATTACGTTCAGACTGGTGTAAGCATCCATAAGTTTACATGCATCGATTATATTGAAAGCATTACTTCATTTTGATTCTTTTTCAGACTTTACATGACCACATTACGGCAACTATTGAAAGTGTGAAAGTTGCTGGCAAACCTTGGCAACAATCCTATGGTCAAGAAAACTTGACACCCAACCGATTCAAAGACAAATTTAGGCATCAAGAAAGAGAAAGAAGAGACGACAGAATATATAGCGCAGGATTAAGAGACCGAGCCTAATCGTGACGTTGAAAACATAGAAACTATTAATTGACATGATTCAATTATTTATAAGGATTTTAGAATACCTGAATTCTGTAGAATGAGACTATGAACTAAAAATTTGTAAGTTAGAAATGAAAACCATCTTCTTTTTATAAAATGTTGTTTATTGAAATAGGACTCTGTATCTTATTGTTTGTACATTCGTTTTTACAATTTGGATTGACAGGTGTAGAGTGCTTAACAATAAGCAATATCATTTGCTTGTTTTTCATTTTTTAAAAGCCACTGCTCCATGCCTCTTGTACATGTAAAACTGTTTCGTACTCGCGATGCCAATACCATCAGCCAATGAGCATTAAATTGTGACTGCCTGCTCCATCTAAAACATTTATTACTTTACATTTGTTGAATTTTTTTTTTTTTTTTTTATACATACATAATTGTTTGTGCAATCTGAAAAATTGAAATACTTTATGAATAAACTTTGGTATTTAAAAGAATTACCTTGGTAACAGTGCCGTTATTAGATTAGACCAGCTGTCTGCAGTTGCTGGGAAAGAGTGAACTGTATTCAATACAGATCGCAGGCCTTTTTGTGGACTAGACGTTATCAGGGTGCTTAAAGAAGACATACACTTGACCTTTGCAGTATGCTCGTTTGACAAGTTCCGTCCCAAAAACAGTGCTTTATCAATGCATTTGTTAAATGAGATGTCGCTCATTATCAATAGGATTCTAGCCAGATCAGTCCACAGTTCAGACGAATCTACAAAATATAAAATTTTCATTTAAAATAAACTTTGATAACTCGAAAAGTTATCTTTTATCGCTCAACTCACCTGGATAACGATGGATATACTTGCACAATACTCTCGCTGCTCCCTCCATATCGTTTTGTATCAAGAACGAATAAGCAATCAGCCTGGCGATGTGGTTCTTGTATTCGGGATTGTTATCGTGAGCTTTTAGTTCCTTCAAAACCAAATGTGTCAAATTTTCATCTCCATCTAGCATTCCCAGTGCAGCTAGTGCCAATAGGGCAGATATAATTGGTGGCTTGATTCCAATCGACTGATAAAGTAGTGTCTTTGCATCATTACTTTCCTGAAACATATAGGCCATTGCTGCCATTGCACAAAGAACGTGAGCCTTGTCTGTCTCGACATCTGCCAACCAGTGCAGTGCTGCTTCATAAGCTTCGTAGGATTCTTTAAAGTGCTCAGCTGAAGTAGAAATTTATATTAACTATTTGTTTGAAAAATCAGTTAAGTTATACTTTTGATATTAAAATAAAGTACGAACAATAAATTCCTTACCTTTGAACAACGACAAAGCTAATTGACAATGAGATGCAAAACTGGCACTCTTGATGGACAAACAAAGTTTTACAGCCTCTTCGGACTTTCCCAAGTACATCATCGCACGTGCTAAATTTATACTCAATTGATCCCTTTGTTTATCATCCGATATGTACTTCAAGGCTTCCGAAAATCGCTCGAATGATGGTTTATATAGCTTTTGACGTTCTAATAATAGTCCGTAAGCATTCAAAGCATATGGATCGTGAGGATAGTGGACTGTGAAAAAATAAAAATTCATAGAGCCTATTCTCAAAAATACGCATCATCTGCAGACCCTCACGTGCATCCTATACCTGTATACCAATGTATTCCGTCGGCGGCTACCGCAACCGCGTGCATTTTTTCGATAACATAAGAATAGAGAGGATCTTTTTTTGACTCGGGATCCATTATAGTTTTAATGACCCAATGAGTGTAACCAGTGGCTGCTTCATGGTGAAAACCGAGTTGGGTGGCATGACGGAATAAATCCATTGCATCCTTCTGAGATACCTTTTCAGCTATAAAGGCTTGACCAATCCAACAGTTCACGTAAGCCGGATCTATTTTTTGAGCCCACGAAAAAGCTTCGTTAGCCCGATATGGATCCTCTTAAAAGAACAATTGACCCAATTAAATAACAAATTTTGCTGCCGGTACTCTGTAAAATTTAAAAATTTGATACTTTTTCTTCATACCTAAGAGCAAGTATAACGATCCAAGATTCGTCCAAGCCACGGCGTTGTTGGATTGCCTCTCCAAAGCCATAACAAAACTGTGTTGAGCCAAGGCGTAGTTTTTAACTAGCTTCGACATACAAATGGCTCCCAGTAAATTCCAGTGGAACCAATTGTAAGGATCAAGTTTGACTGCCTCTTTAGCTGCGGCTAAACTTTTTTTAACAACCTCTTTAGCATCGGACAAACTATCCAAATTGAGCTGGGCAAAATAACAGCGGGCCAGATCATGCCATAAAAGAGACGAACTCTTTGACATGCTTAATGCTCTACAATAGCACCTGTAAAACCACTGTTAAATTTCTGTTTTCCATTTTCACGAGAAAAAGTAAAATTCTCTAATTACCTTATTGCCAACAAAAATATATCTTTTCGTTTTATTAACGCATAATCATCCTGAGAATCTGACTGAATCAACCCCGGAACAACATCGAGAAAGCAATATTTCTCCGGCAAAGCAGCCACATTATAACAAACATTACCCAACATTTTCCAAATACACAAAAAATCGCTTTTTTGCATTATAGCCTTTGTCAGGTTGTCCACAGCCTCTTGGAAATCATCTCGCGCTCGAGCTAAAAGCTGCGCGGCTGCGTTCTCTGTCCCAAGCTTATAGCAGCACTCCGCAAGGCCCTTCAAAGCGGCAACATTGTTTTTGTTATCTTCCAGGATATTTGCAAAGTCTATTTTAGCCAATGCGAATTGACCGACTAACTGTAAAATGAATTCATAGTTATTGAAATAATAAACACTGAAATTGTAGAAGCAAAAAAAATTTACCAGCTTGATGTTTGACAATTGAATCATAGAATAAAAAGACTCTGGGTTCAATTGACAGGCTCTTTCGTACGATCTTAGTGCGGATAAGTGCGCACCTCGAGCTAAATATGCGTCTGCAAGGCATTCCCAGCAATTACTGAAAATTGAAGGTATCATTTACATCAACAGGTTTTTTTCCTACTACACAAGGTGAGTTTTCTTTGCTACCTGTCACTTGGATCTAGCTTGACAGCATTTCTCAAAGTCGATACTGCTTGGGATGGATTGTTACAGTCAAGATACTGCAAACCAAGCTGAATTAATGCCCATTTTGGTCCTCTACTGTTACTCGTTAATTGAGTAAGAAATTCAAAGTTTGCTTCCTAAAATTAAATAAACAAAAAATTTTACTTCAATGTTTCAATAAGTTACTTGTAGTAGTTACAAGGGTAAATGTGAAAAAAAAAAAATGAAACCAAGCACAAGTACTAACGGTATTTTTTAAAAACTTATGCACTAGGCTCAAACCAATACCCGCTTGATTTGAGTTGGGATTTATTTGCAAAGCTTTCTGATAACATTTCCTGGAACGCTCGTAGTCCTTACTTTGTTCTTGGTGATACTGTCCCAAGTAGACCAAACATTCCCAGTTATTAGGATCAGCACAGATTGCCTTCAAGAAAGCCATCAAACTGTGCCCGTAATCAGACATCTCCCAGTGAATTTTTCCCAAAATCATCCAAGCTTCAGACGATTCTAGGATGGATCCCAAAACGTCTGCTGCTTCTTCCAAGTGTTTTTCTTGGAGCAGATAGATTGCATGAAGAATAGTGCCTTCAGTCTTTGTTCCTGGATTGTTTTTCAAGTTTTGTATTAAATTGATTGCACACGAATCATTCAACAAAACGCACAGATGAGCACGTAAAATATGACTTTTTACAGAGCCATCAGACAACTGAAAATACGACCCAAATAAAAGTTATTCAGAGAGAAATTTGATGCTTCGATAGGAAAAAGTAAAAACCACTCACTTCTTCAAACTGTTCTTTAGCTTTCTTCCATTTAATTTTGTTCAAGTTCTTAATAAGAGCTTCTAATAATATTAAGTTACAAGCAGGACGCAAATTATGAGGATCACCCTCGGGTATGAGTTTTTGTGCATGTATAGCAGCCGTTTCAGCATCGTCCCAACAATGCAATAAAACATTGATTTTGCCCAACAGGAACCAAGCGTGAAACCATTTTGGTTTGATGCCAACTAAGTGACTGATAAGATTTCTCGCATCAATCAAATTTCCAGTTTCGTAAAGATACACCGCCTTGGCAAAATGTCCCAGAAGAGCCTCGGGATCGTGATCCAAAAGAGTTTCATAGAAAATAGTAATGTCCACTCCTTCATATTTGCTGTGAGTGATGGTAAACTCGGAATAGGCACGGCACACCCACTCTGGAATAAAGCAAATGTAAAAACAGGTTTTCATTAAATTAACGTCACACATTATTAGTTATTTTTTACTTTTACATTTTTTTTTTTTTTTTTTTTTTTGCACTTACCAAGCGGGTAAATATCTAGTACGAAAATTGCATGCATTTTTGCAGCTTCAGACATAAGTTTATCAATCTTCTCAAATTTATATAACAATTTCAAATACTTTTTGTAATACTCGTGTCTATTGGCAGAATTCTTATCCTCAACAATGGAAGACAATATTTGCTCCAAAATCTCATCAAGGTCACTAGAAAGTCTTGGACACTGAGTTAAAACTGTAGCCATGGCTTCATTGATGATTTTCACAGTCTCTTCTGAAATATCCCTTTTTTCTTTCAGTTTGCATAGTACAGAAATACTTTCAAACAGCACTTTGTCATCATTGAGTTTCAGCAAAGTTTTGGATAGATTTTTTAAATATTGAAGAAACTTTATTTGATCACTGTAATAAATGACAAATAATGAGATTAAAAACTTTCAGGTAGCAATTAAAAATAAAAACCAGTAACAAATCTCAAACCTTTCTAGCTGCAACAATTTGTTATAAACATGAACAAGTTCAACCAAAGCCTCAGCATTGTCTTCCTGTTCTTCATAGTGAACAAGCAAGCCATGCCAAGCAAGTGGATTATCAGGCTGGATGTCAATAGCTTTTTTCAACTGAACTGGAGCTTGGCTTTTCATGGTCTCCACTTCGCGCATCGCAGCCCCCATCAAAACCAAAGCATTGTAATTGCGTTTTTCCTCTTTCAACACTTTTTTGCATATTTTGATCGCGGCGCTGAACTCTTTTTGCTTCAGAAGCTCTTTGGCTTCTTTCAACGTTGCTTTCACATCTTTTGACATAATGGCAACTTGATAAGAGTAGAGTAAAAATAAAAAAATCTGTTTGCCCAAATATTAATGTTAGATTTATTAACTATCGTGCATTATTTAATGCAAACAACCAAACTTATGTCGATCACAGTCAACAGGTAAACTTAACTTGCGTACAGGAAGCGTCTTTAACTCTTTTGTCCTATCACAGTTTATATATTGTATACAAACAAAGTGTTCCAATTTTATTAGTTGTTATTGATGTTGTCCATCAAAAATAAAGTAAATGAATAAATGCTTGGTTAATCGATTTCTGTAAATAAATTTTTGACTGTTGACACGACTTACTTTTTGACCTCACAATTTGGCCTAAATACCCGTTTGAAGGTGTGTTTAATATATATTCCGTAATCCCTGCCAACAGTAATCACTGTCAGTGGTTCCACTACCTGCTAGTGCTATGCTATCTGCTAATATAAACAAACTTCACTCCATTTTCACATCAATATTTGTGAAAGAGTTTGTTTACAAATGAAAATATTATACCCACAGACCTATACTCGGCACAGATTGTAGGGTAAAACAAAACAAAAAACCCATCTCTTTTTTTTTGTTGTCAACGCCGTCTAGCGTTGTGATTTCTGGCATCCAACGGAGTCCAATCTCTAGGGGAACCGTCTTTGAAAAAAAACCCTAGATTTTAGCGTTGCTACATAACTTTTCGACCTAGCTAGGAAAACCCTAGGGTGCCGTAGCGGAGGGTCTACTGAAGTGGTTCCATCCTTGAAATTCACGAACAAAATTTACTAGGGCGAAGTGTCCGCAGCGGAGGGTCTATTGGAGCCGATCTGTTAGACCCTTCGCTTATTTTTTTAAATTCACGAGGAAAATGCACTAGGACTAGTTTCCGCAGCGGAGGGTCTATTAGAGCCGATTTGTTAGACCCTCCACTCACTTCTCTGAAATTCACGAGGAAAATGCACTAGGACTAGTGTCCGCAGCGGAGGGTCTATTGGAGCCTATTTATTAGACCCAACGCTCACATCCGAGAAATTCACTGCGAAAATTAACTATAGGTCTAGTGTCCGCAGCGGAGGGTCTATTGGAGCCGATCTGTTAGACCCTCCGCTCTCTTTCTATAGATTCACTAGTGTCCGCAGCGGAGGGTCTATTGGAGCCGATCTGTTAGACCCTCCGCGCACATTGTAGAAATTTACTAGGAAATCCTAGTGAAACCCTCCAAGACTCTAGATTTGTATGCTGTATATTTTCGACCTAGAATTTTCCCTAGAAATTATCGATAGATTGTCGGTAGCAATTCAGAAAAATGAGCCCTGCCGTGCCGACATTCACCTCACTTACCGGTTGAAGATATCTACCCGACGTTGACCGTCGGTACAACAGGTAATCGAGGGAGACAAGTGCTCTATTGTACCGACGGTCAACGTCGGGTAGATATCTTCAACCGGTAAGTGAGGTGAATGTCGGCACGGCAGGTCCGTATTTCTGAATTGATACCGACAATCCATCGATTATTCCTGGGGAAAACCCTAGGTCGAAAATGTATATATAGCACACAAATCTAGGGTGTTTTCTCTCAAGATGATTTCCCCTAGATATATGGATTCCGAAAATCACAACGCTAGATGGCGCTGACAACAAGTAGAGTGTGGGGCTATAGGGGTTAATGTACCTACTAACCCAGCGTCGGCTACAGACCTAGGCCTAGTGCATTCTTTCTCCTAGTGAATTTCTACTAAGTGAGTGTAGGGTCTAATAAATCGGCTCTAATAGACCCTCTGCTACGGACACTAGTGCATTTTCGCAGTGAATTTCTACAAAGTGAGCGTAAAGGGTATAATAAATAGGCTCCAATAGACCCTCCGCTGCGGACAGTAAATTTTCATAGTGAATTTGTAGGGAGCGACTGTAAGGTCTAACATATCGGCTCTAATAGACCCTCCGCTACGGGCACTAGACCCAGTGAATTTCTACCAAGTGAGCGACGGTCTAACAAATCGGCTCCAATAGACCCTCCGCTATGGACACTAGTCCTAGTGCATTTTCCTCGCGAATTTCAAAGATTTGAGTGGAGGGTCTAACAGATCGGCTCAAATAGACCCTCCGCTGCGGACACTTCGCCCTAGTAAATTTTGTTCGTGAATTTTAAGGATGGAACCGCTTTAGTAGACCCTCCGCTACGGCACCCTAGGGTTTTCCTAGCTAGGTCGAAAATATATAATTATATATAGCCACGATAAAATGTAGAGTTTTTTTCAAAGACGATTTCCCTAGAGAAAAGACTGTGTAAACTACTTAATAAACCAAGAAAATTAATTGTCTATCAACAGTAACATTTGTATTATTCTAAGAATTAGCAAATATAGCTGAAATTGAATAAAAATACTCCCATTTTAAGGCATACAAATTTGAAATACAATAATTTGTTTACCGAACATGCTTCATTTTTTATGATAAAAATTTTTGTATTACGTTAAACAGAAAGAAAACACGGATGTGCAAGCAATTAAAACAACAAAGAAAAGTAATAATAACAATAACAAGGAACATATTCACACATGCATGCCTTGCAAACAGCAAAAGATACAAAAAATGATTTGAACACACGGCGAACTTTGAAAAAACTGCTGTTGTGTGCATGCAGGAGGTCGTGGAGGATCGAAAGGATTTGCCCGTGTCTTATTGAGCGTGCAAAAATTGCCCGATTATTAAGTACGAATGAAAATTCAAGTACAAAAAGTCAGTAACAAGCCTATCATTCATTTAAAAAAAAAGAAATAAATAAATAAAATCTTTTAGGCCTTATTAGGTATATATACTTATTTTATCATTCAAAAATATTTTTATTTATTAGCTAGAGTGGAGTCAGTGGAGAAAAAAAAATTAATACATAGTTAGAAAAGGAAGGACTACGATTTAATATCTCGACCTTGATGAGAATTGAATTGTAAAGGCGCGGAGAGAATAAGTAAAGAGCGAGCGAGTCAAGGCCATATACATGGAATGGTATACCTATATCTGCTGCCTATAGCACTGCCAGTGACAAAAGCCAACAGGCTGTAACCTGTGTAACACGCAGGAAAAAATAAGAAATTACAAGATCCGATCATTGCGTTTGTTGAGCGTTTTAACCTCACATTCGTGGACAGTAAGTATTCATATATTTTATACAATATAGCGACTGAAACCTTGTTCTCGAGAACTCAAGTAGGAACAAAGGGTGTACTAATCGTACGTATGTACATGTAACTGTACGTGTAGCACAGACAGGTACTCTCGAGAAAATCAGCGAGCAAATTAGTCCAAAAGGCCCAAGATTGAGAACCTGTAAGCAACCAAGTACAAGGAAGTTACAGAAGTTCCGGTCCCGGAGGACGTACGATCGCATAGAAGCTGGACCTGGCACGCGATATAGCCGCAGGAGCATCCTCCAGCTTCATGAGATGCAAGCTGCCTATTGCGCATGAATTGATGAATTCCTCGTCGAGTAGCTGCATCAGTAGCAAAAAAAAAAGCAGAAGCAACAACTGCACCTCATCGGCCAGCTGTACCATTACTAGTAGCAGTTATTTTCTGTCACTACGGCGCCATCGACACCATCAAGATCAACAACATCCGCAAAATCATCAACGTTTGCGTCAGGAACAACAGTATGGACATTATCATCCCGTCACTGCTACCCTAGCCTCTCCTTCGATGCCGTCCACGTCCCGATCGTAGCGTCATAGCAGCTCTACATACATTAACGTGCATTAACGAAGCAACCTAGAGATTAAGTCGGTGCAAAAAGAGGACGTTCTCCTTCTCATACTGCCATTAAGATTATAGCAAACAATCGAAACATTGAAGGTAGGATTGTGCGTGCGCGAGCGCGCGTGTGTGTAGTTCAGTGTACCTGATGAGAAATGAGAATACGTGAAAAAGTGTAACAGAGTCTAGACCAGATGACCAAATCTAACAAGTTTTACAATCTGAGTTAAGGTGGTGATATTTGATCATAGATTACAGCGAGACTCCGAGGGCATGCCGATGGAGCTCCCCGCAGAGCTCTGAGAAAGGTATACTTAAAACTTTTTACCTACTTAAGTACTTACTTTACAGCTGACTACCAATACCTAGCCTAGTACCTACGTGGTAAACCACTCGTGTGTGTGTGTCTAATGTATGTGTATCGCTACGCGCACGTACTTTGCGTTTTCTTTTTTTCTCTCTTTCTCTCGTTTTTCGTTAGGTACACTTTGAACATATGTATATTAGTGTGGGACAGAAAAGAATAAGGAAGGAAGAGAGTCAAGAGAGTTGGAAGTTGGAAAAAGTAAGAAGACGAAGACGGGAAAGAGAGAGAGAGATCGAGTTTGATATTGCACACCTTTGTTGCTATATACACAGTGTGTATACGCTATATACATGCATACACATGTCCCTCTCGGTTCGGTCTCCGTCCGCGATCATCGCAGACAAAGTACAAATTTGGGAATTAAGACGCCCCCAGGTGTACTTGTGTTCCTGGGTCCTTCTTCCCGTTTTTCGGCCCGTTGGCACTCAACACGCGTTAATCGAGCTTGCAAAGCATATCTTTGGCACTTTTAAGTGATTATTCATTGACACACATGAGTAAGCGTCTTCATTAACTTGTTTTTTTTGTTGGTTATGATAACTGTTATTGTTGACGACGAAGACAACAAAGACGGTTGCGTCCAAAAGGGACTCCGGAGATTACCTATATTCTTTACCCAACATTACATACTTCCCTTCTTAGTTACATTTAATGATTTTTTTATTTTTTTTTGTATTTTACAGTGGTATTCCAAGATTTTGCTGCTGCTGCTAAAAAGAAGAAGTAAGAGCGCCGCACACACAGTGTAGAAGATTGAACAACTGAAAACTGAATTGAGCAGGGAAAAAGTGCGTGTGTGATAAATAGTGTGAAGGTAACGAAAGAAAAGACAAAAGAGAGAGGACTCTAGAGAGCACGAAAAATAGAGAATTGCTCCGCGGTCGGTGGTCACCGCAGGTTATGGCCAACCTGAACTTCGAGGCCCCACCAAGGAGTATAGCAACTAATGCGAGTTTAGCCACCCGAGCAGCAGTAGCGGCAGCAGCAGCAGTAGCAGCCGGTAGCGGCAGTAGTTTGACCTCGTCGACCCTAGCGGGTCATGTCACTCCCACAACCGGTATGTTCTCAGGCTCATCCTCGAGCACTTCTGGTGCGGCGAGCAGCGCGGTCATTGGGCCAAACTTATCTTACCACCCAGTGGGGGCAGCTTCAGGTGTTATTGGTGGAGCACAATCAAGCTCGAATCACGCAGCAGCAGCAGCAGCCGCAGCGGCGGCGGCGGCAGCAGCAGCAGCAGCAGCAGCAGCAGCAGCTCAACAACAACAGCTTTCTCCTATGAATAGTAGGGGCCTTTTTGGCCAAAGTCAGAGAGCGTTTACTGGTGATAGGCGTAATATGCCAACTCTAGGGTAAGCCATTGGTTTTGTTTGTTTGCCTGTTGTTGTTTTCTTGAGCGACAACTCTGAACAATTGTGATGTGTAAACAAACTTTAGTTCCAACTTATTCACCAGTAATCATTAAACTTGTATTTTATATTCATGTGTCTGATAACACTTATTTTCTTTAAGCAAGATTTATGTTTCACAAAGATGTCTCATAAATTTTCAAATTTTTCTTATCACAATTTCAAAATACCAGAATATAAAGGTTGTCGTTCACATTTTATGATGAATTCTGCATGTTTAACTGCATTTTTAATGTCTTTATATACCACGACTCTAATCTGATGATTTATTTTTAGAAATAATCCAATTGGTGGTATGAACAGTTTTGGAATACCCCAAAATCGCAACTACGGATCTCAAGGTACTATCAACAATTTTCATTCATTTGGTAGTGGGACGAGTGCTGGTGGTGGAGGAGACACAAGTACACCTCCACTTTTGGACCTGTCTGAATTTCCTTCGTTAACTAATAGGGGGCAAGGGGACTCCTCTATGCCCCAACCTAGTCCCATGCCAGGGAAACAACCTTATGGTATGAAAACACTTAATTATGTTACTAAAGGTATTGAGATTCCTTATGTTTTTTCTTTCCTCTTTTTTTCGCCTTCATTGTAATCATAAAATCTAGTCTCCAAAGTTTCTATTCACACACACATAAAGATTTCAAAACAATCTCATTTCTTGACCTTGTGGTGTACGTAAATTGATTATTGCACGTAATGTTTCAGATACATTGTGCAGACATTACATACAACTACTATGTAAAGTTGTTCATTTTTTCATACACATCTGCTTCTTTGCTAATTGAAATTTTCGTAAAACGAATTTTAATACGTCATGTAAATTTTAGTTGGAATGGTGAAGCAACCGACGTCAGAAGCAAGCGAGTTCACAATGAGCTCGGAAGATTTTCCTGCATTACCGGGAACACAGAGTCGAGAAGGTCCGTCGCCTGGAGGAAGCGTGATGTCGGGTGATAAGGGAATTAATGTTGGTTTGGGTCCAGAGTTGAGTCAAGATGTGTTGCAGGCCAACAGAACAAATAGTTCCGATAAATCTGCTTCAACGAAAAAAGGCATTCAGACATCACCTGATGGTATGTTAACGTTTTTGCTTTGCGTTTTAAACATATCGTCTTGATTGCAAGGTGTGTTAAAAAAAAATACAAGTTTGATGACTATCAAAAGGCTCATGGTATTGAAATCGCAGGTAAAGTGACGAATATACCAGCAAGCATGGTGAAGGACCAGTTTGGCATGGTCGGCTTATTAACATTCATCAGGGCAGCCGAAACAGATCCGAATCTCGTGACATTGGCGCTAGGCCAAGATTTGACGGCGCTAGGCCTCAATCTTAACTCGCCCGAGAATCTGTATCAGAATTTTGGTGGTCCGTGGGCCGAGACGCCCTGTCGACCGCAGGACATTGACTACCACGTTCCACCAGAATACCTGATCAATGCTTCCATAAGGTAATGATCACTTCTGAGGGAAAAACATTCAATTTGTACAATTTTGAGGATATTTAAAAAAAAATATTTCTTTCAATAATTTTTAGGGATAAGCTAGCGCCTGTCAAACTGAATCGATATAAGGACGATCTCTTGTTTTACATGTTTTATACAAATGTGGGTGACGTGTTACAGCTTGCGGCTGCAGCAGAACTGTAAGTTTAAAAGGATTTTGAGCGTCATTTTAACACAATTTCGTTTTTTTTACATGTTGTTTATAACGTTTCAGGTATAGTCGCGAATGGCGATATCATATGGAGGAAAAAGTGTGGATCACGCAGGCGCCAGGCCTCGGGCTCGTTGAAAAAACCTCAACATACGAGCGCGGCACTTATTACTACTTTGACGCGCAAAACTGGCGTAAGGTTGCCAAGGAGTTCCATCTTGATTACACGAAGCTCGAAGGCAGGCCCCACTTGCCCAACTCTTTTTATCAGAGTCAGCCTTGACCAGGTCTGCCCTCGACTGCACCGACTTCTCCTCTTTCTCCTCCTCCTTCTCAGCAACTGGTGCCACAGCAGCAGCAGCAACCATCCTCGCCCATTTCTGCCCGAGCGGCCAGGTGAATCGCGTGCCCAAGCGCAATGGACGTTTTTGCTATGTGAGTTTTGTGAGCGCACGAGGCGAGCGATCGAGACCGAGAGAGAGGATTGTTTGCCCAGCCAAGAGAAAGAGAACGAAGAGAAGGCACAATTCGTACAGTAACGTCACATGTAAGAAATAAAAGGAAAAAAAAAAAAAAAAAACAAGAGCCGGCCGATCATGTGTTCTCAACTTTCACGGGGAATGGATGTTTCTTGAGCTCTTGTGCTACTTCGTTCTTACCAACTGAGAATTCGGAGATAAGCGACTAAGCCATTGTATAAATGAACAAATTTATTAATCTTTAATAAAGCGATGAAATTTCACGGAGTTAAACAAACACTATTGTTGAGAAACCATTTAAATTATTTGCTATTACTATTTTTTTTTTTTTTTTTTTTTTTTTTTTTCAGTGTGTTGTATTACTATTATCAAAAAATAGTGTTTAGTAAGGATAAATTTTCAAGTGTTAGCAAACTTTTTGCTTCTCCTTTGCCGCCGTCCGGTTGTTGGTCAGTATCATGCTTTTGTTATTCAATTTTTAAAGTCGGCTTTGAACCTCCATTGTGGTTTCATCGTGAATAATGAATATGGCTGTTTTCTCAGTGAAGGTGAGTTGCTGTGATTCGAAGTTTCAAGTCAATGGCAGAAATGGACATTTGCAATCAGTGTAAAGATAAATTTTTTTTTTATTTTATATGGTACCTTTTTTTTGAAAAATTAAAGAAAATTTTATTTTCAAAACTTAAACAACATGGAATTTTTTGTTATTATTTTTAACTGCTACAAAAAAACCAAACAGTTTTCTTAATATTTGTCAACATTTGTGGAATGCATGAATGATAAGATTACATATACATGTGTTAAAGTACATCCTGTACAGGAAAGATTTGAAGAAAGTTGACAGACATTTTAATTTTTATGTGGTAATTATTAATCATAATACTAAAGTGATTTTTCCATCTTATATGTGGATAGATACTGATAGACTTGTTGTCGATTCTCTTCATGCTCGTGATAAAAAAGTTTTGACCATTTGATGTCAAAAACATATTTTTAAGCATTTATAATGTAATATACATTTTGTAGCTTTCCGATTTACATAATTCTAGTACAAAAACTATTCAGTAATTACGTGTTATGAATTGTGTGTATTTTTTTATTTACTCCTTAAGACAGTAATGTGCATACGTGTATTACACTTGTACAAAAACATTTACACATCGCGATTGCGCGTATGTTAATTTTAAAAATATTCACTTCGAAAATCTGACCTTTGTGTTTTACAAAGGTACATAATGTATCGAGTATCTGAAAATTTACTGTTTATAAGTTGAAAAAAAATTCAATGTCTGTTTAATTGGCTTACAGTAAAGGTTTTTCTCGGGTTGATTATCCGTCATGTTAACTAAACAATGCAACATTGCCGTTCGAAGCATCCGTACATCTAAAAGTAATTATTATTACTACCTTTACTGTGATATGTGCACGAATAAAATTTACTCATTGAAAAAGACATTGTTTTGTCTTGGAAATAAAGTATCTTATTGTTACGCATTGGTTTTATTTTAAAGACAAAACAATCATTATACATACAGTTTTCCTGTTTAATAAGACGGTTTACTCTTTAATAAAGTCAATTTTTACGACACAAAGGTTTTCGCATTTTTTTGCTAGTATTTCACGTGATTGATCTACAAAAAACTAAGATGTAACACGTAATTTTAAGAAATTCTTATCTAAAAAGGAAAAAAAAAAAAATTTTGTACATAAAACGCTGAGCTACTTATGCTACTCAATGAAGAATTGTAAAATTGCTCTACTTATTTAGCAGAGAGATATAAAAAAAATTAAATTTTCCTGCGACGAAGACGCGCCTTCGTAAAAGTACAAACTCGTCTCGCCGCGCAAGGGAGACCGACTGCAAGTGTAGATCATCACACGCTGACTTGCTCATCTCATCCGTAACTAATGGTGTACCCCATGGACAGCATGAGCGTCTCCTTGATAGCCGGATGAAGTTGGCGCTCGATGTAGTGGGTGATGGCTTGGCTGGCGCTCCTCAGGAACACGTCCTCCATCTCGCGGGCAATGTCGCCGCGCGAGCGCCAAAGATTGTCAAGTATCGCGTCGTTGTCCGCGTTGTCACCCAAACGGTTCTCCTCGTCGTTGGCCAGGCCGATCACACCGGCCACCTCGTCGATCTCCTCGCCGTTCACGCCCTCGTCGTGTTGCACGTCCTCGTCCTCGGCGTCGTTGTCAAAGGCCGACGAATTGAACACCGAGTTGTAATCGTTGCTTGCCTGTTGTCGACAGTTCATTAATGTTATCTACGTATTTTGTATAATAATCGCGAGTACTTTGTTTATAACATTTTCGCAAGCGATTCTAGTGAGGAAATACCCCTTCCTTGCGGAATTTTATTGGCGATCTTGACCTACAAGAAAGTTGCTCAATAAATTGTAAAAAAAAAAAAAAAAAAAAAAAAAAAAAAAAAAAAAAAAAAAAAAAA